TAACGTATGCCGAGGAAATATATATAAAAATTACCTGATTTATTTATTGAAACAGCAAGAGAACAGATTTATTCTATATATCAAAGATTTCTGATGTAATAGTACTCCCACTAAATTATTCCATATAACGAAAGTGATATTTAAGAGCACTTTATAGTATCGTTTTCTTTAAAATCTACTTTAACATAGTAAAATATAATTACATTATTATAATAACATAAAATGTATATTGCACTATTTGATGTACACATATAAGTTTTAAATTAAAAGACAAATAGAAACGCATTCTACATGGCTACAGACATATGTAAACCAGGATGATAGCGGGCTTAACAATGCCGCAGCTCTACTTTAACGGCTTAATCGAAAGAAGCCACATAATCAATTCTCACTTAACTTAAATGAAATAGGTTAATTAACTTAATTAAGCTACTTAATTAACTTAGTAAAATTGTATGATAGCGTCATAGGCAAACGACTCGTTAGTTCTTTCGTAACTAGCTGTAAGGTTAACAAACATTATTAAATACATATTTTTATTATAATGTTTCTTAATGAGTAAAACGTTGAATATACCTACATATAAGTTTTAGTCACTTAATTTATATTTACATTTATAATTAACTTAATTTAATTATGTAATATAAAATTGTGATAAGTAAAGAGAATGAATTGAATTTCGTTCCCATAAAATGGAAATTTATTCCAAAAATAATAATCCACTTATACTTATCACTAGCATTACAGCGTAGCTCTATTTAATATTAAATGGAAAGAAATCGTTTTTAAAAAAAGTTGTATCCAATAATATTTTTGTTAGAATATTAGGGAAAAAAGAAAACCAAAGATAAAGCAATAAGAAGCTATATTTCCAATAATAGTAGAAGTAGAAATAGTTCATGAAAAACTATAGCACAAGTTAACAGTTTTTGTTAAGTGGAAAGCATAGTGGCTATAGAGGAGAAGCTAATAACTATATTCTTTAAAGAATTGCCAAAACCCGCCATGTGGTATCTATGTATGCACATACAAAAAGCGGACTGTTCTGAAGATCACAATCGCGGGAATCGCCATATTTCTAAAATAAGTGATATGTCAGGTGCGTTTTTTTCACAGAATCGTGTGAAATCTTTGAGTATGATATCATGTCAAAATTTTCATATCAAAAGATCGCAATAGTGATGGAAAAACTTTGAAATAGTGATTGAAATGCTTGAAATGCAAATTTGGGACAGAAAACCTAGTATTCAGGTAATGAGGGCAATGGTTTCCATTGTTAACTAACGAACTCATTTACAAACATTTAACTGATCTACGATATTATTAAGTGTGTATCCAACTAGTATCAGTACAAACCTGCTTATCTTTACGTGACTATTCAGACCCAATCAGTTCAACATAACCATATGTATATCATTTATTATATTATACTATATATATATATATCTATTATATATATAGTATACATTATTATATTTATATATATATAGATATCATTTATATATACATATATCAGCAATGTTTTTTATGATATTGATGTCGACTATATTCTTTTTGATTATCATTTTTATTTTAATATTATATTTAAATAATGTAAAAATATTATAAGTAAACATAATACTATTCACTTTAATATATAATCAATCAATTCAATACTTCAATACTTTAATGGAACTTACAGGTTTTATAGGAAAGAGAATGAGAGCTCACTCGGTACTAATACCTGAACGAACGAATTACCTAAGTGGGTATCTATTGTCGATTGAAGACTCGGTAAAGTGGGTTTACTACGTTGAACCCAACAAGGAGGCACATTATATCTTTAGGGTCTTATTGTAAAACTATTTAACTTAAGATTAGATCATATAAAATGTTAAAACATTCTTTGTCATTAAATGATGTGGGTACCCATATCTCTGGTAATGTTACTCCAATTATGTTAAACGAATAAAAATAACAAAAGGGGGTATTAGTGAAAAAATTTTTAATCTAAAAAATATTTTAGTTTTTAATCAAATGAATTCTTAACCAAACATCGGTTTCGGATATCGTCACATATCCATTAACTATGGACTTTAAAATAATTTATAATAATTACTAGAATTTATATTTATTGATCATTTATTTATTTATTATTAAATTTTAAATTAATTGAACAATTATTGAAGATGTATAATATGTATATAATTATTATTTATATATATAATAGATTTGTATATATATTTACATGTATATACATAGATGACATTCTGGCCTCAACGGCTGAGGCCATTCTGGCTCTCATTCGGAAGGCAGAATGTCTTTGTAGAGTTAGGATCTGGTGGAGCACAAAAGATCAACCATGCTCGCAGTGCTCCGCGCCTTTGGGAGCTAGTACCCTGTTTATTCTTATTCCTATACATATATATGCAAACATATATACAAAACTCTCATAAAGCTGATATAGAAAGTTTTTATTATTTAACAAAAGTTGGTTTTAAGTAGTTTTTATAAAAAATATGTTGTTATATAAAATTTATAACAGATATATTCTATATACACACATACTTTAAAAATAAGTTTATTTTTGCTTTAAATATATTTAAAATATAATAAAATAAAGAACTATTCAAAATAACTGCATAATAAATTTGAAAAGAATGTCAATTTGGAATAAATTCCTTCCTTTCCTTTCTAGTTTTATTGTTGTGTGGGTCGAGCGGGTGGCTCCAAGGCACACAGCAAATGTTTTCCTCACGTTTGTTAATAAATTTCAGAAAATACTGCCTTACCTTTGAACTAGAAATGGATCACAATGAATGAACATAAATTTATCTAAATCTGCCTAGACTTCACGTCGACGAGCGTTGAAGTAATTGGAAACTAAATTTAAAATTTGAAAGTTTTTTCCTTAACAAAATAGGCGTTTAGTTTCAGCGCATTTTACGGCAATCATTTTAATGATTCACCGTTTCCCAGTCACACAAACAGATACTGACACACACAGATACACAAATACTCAGATACTTAGGCACTCACCCACTAACTAAAATGAAATGTGAATAAAAAGCACATGGTATATAGTACAGTATAGTATATAGTAAAAGATACTAAAAAGTACCCTGGGCGAAGTAAAACGTAGTAGCAGTTTCCACATCATATCAAATGCAAAGATAAATAAAATTTCGGGACAACAACACACAAAAGAACTAATCCCCAAAGAGAAACAAATAAAGTTTCTTTCTGTTACTTTTTTTTTGTTTTTTTTTGTTCTGTGAAAACTCCAAGGCAAATAAATACGAAATTCGAGTTAGTAGCACAGCAAACATTGGAAAAGTTTTCATTGTGTCACAAAACACTAAACGCAGATTTCGTGAAAGTATAAAATAAATTCTCAAAAGAGGCGAAAGCCTTCAAGAATAAATTATATCATCAACCGACGGCAGGGCACCTCCACGCAACGCGGCATTGTTGGACGAGTCCTCGTACTTCCCATTTAAGTTAAATTGTTGCGCTTGTTTTTATGGCATTTTTTCCACAACGAAGGAAATGCGAAATCAATTTTATTGGCAAACGCTTATCTTCGCATCCTATCAAGCATACGACTTCGCACTCATGCCACTTGCACCACTCGCATCACTACGGCAAAGGTAGGCTTTTATGTGGCAGACCAACTACTCTCACACCCATTTGCGTTCAAAATCGCTTTTAGCGACGTGGGCTACGTTAACCATGCGAGCAACTACCTCTCCACTCCAGCCACTCCAGCCACACTTGAATCGAATACGATTTAGAATTAGTTTTCCGTTTCGTTGGAGTTTTTTGTTTTTGTATTAAAAGTTAAGTGGTTCTGACATGGCAGAGCACTGGGTAGTGCTCAACGTGGAGTGGACCTATTTTCTTGCCTACTTTTATGTTGCTAATCATTATCGTAATTGATGCTGCTGATAAAACTGATTTCTTCTTCCTACACTTGTCATTAATTTCGTTGTAATGAGGCGTGTTGTTTTTGTATTCAAGCTATTATGCTTTCATTCCTCATCACCATCACTTCTCATCATTCCACTTTATTCGTCTTCATTTGTCTTCATTCCTTATGGCATGAGTACCAGTGCACTTTGCCCTAAATTGAGTTGAGTAAGCAACTTGCGTAGCTTAGCTGGTTTGCGCTTAACATGGTCGAGAGTTCCAGGCATGATTTGAATTAATTTCTTCGGTGTTTCTTTCTTGTATTATGAATGCTTCATCTGGTTTTTTGTCTGTAATTTGGATTTTTCATTAAAGTCTTGCCGAAGCCTCACGTTTTAGTAAGTGTTTTCGTTTTACACTGATTAAGAATGTACTCGAAATTGGAAGTGTAGCAGTGAATTAATCTTTCACCTTTTACTTTTTTAACTAAAAAAAAAACGAGCCTTAATTAAAACCAGTCTTATTGTTTCAACATATACCCAACCCTGTACATAATCTGTGTAAGAAGTGTGAATATATAGAAGTACATATATATATATATGATACATATATACAAATATGTATACATATTTTTGCATATACTCAAGAAAAAACGGCACCAAAAGCTTCCAGAATAATTTTTTTCTAAAAGTTGGCAGCACTGCATTGCAGAGGCAAATTATACAAAATTTATATAAGAACATTTTTAATAGGTAATTAATAGAGTAAAATTGGGAACACATAATGAAAAAGGTAATTTGTTGTCCATATAAATTATATCTTATATAATTTATATATAATGATATATATATTGTATTATACATTATATAATAATATATATATTACAAGATTTATATTACACAATAAATTCCACAAAATTAGGGCATATTTTACATACATAAAACTTAAACTGATGGATGTTAATATTGACACTGAAGGTTCGAGAAAATGACAATTGAAATTATATTAAAATACTTGCTTGCTTTATTACTGATAGTCATATTTACAAAAAAAACCACTTAACCTGATGAGAATTATATACTACTAATTGTGTTATTAATAAAATAAATCATTTAACCTGATGAGAATAATATATTCTGATCATGAAATTCTTGTTGTATGATATGCATAGGTAAAGCTAATATTGCTACTATATTAATAACCTTTACATAAAAAATTATACATATTATATATTTTTAATTATTTTTTTTTTAATTTTATGTAATTTTATTTCATGTGTGAAATTTTTATTCTGTGTTTTCGTTTTAATCTTTCTCAAATAAAAATAATTTAGTAATATATTAAATATATTGATAGTATGTATATTTAAATAATAGTAATATATTATTAATAATAATTTATAATATATTAATATACTAATAATTATTAATTAATAATACTAATAATACAATATTTCAATATTATATATAATAATTTATAAAGATTTATAATGCAGTCAAATAATATATATCAGCTGAAGGTATGCGATATGAGCACTCAATGTTCACAAATATCCATATATATACTCAAGTTCATATATACGGTATGAACTTAAAACATATGCCAAACAAATCCATCAGAAAATCGATGGAAATTCAGAAAATCTATCATTAATTTTTGAAACGTACTAAAACAAAAATATAAAATAGCTTAATAAAAAAAAAAGTCGTTATAGAGGGTTCGAAATATAAAATAAAAATTAACCTAATATAGTAATTATAATAGTACAAATATTAGTAGTATAAATTTTAGACTAGTATAAAATATTAACTAATATTTTAATCTTTAACATTATAAAATATAATATAAATATATATTTAAATATATTAGTCAAATATTCTTTTCGGGTCATCTTTCATTACTGTATTCTTTAGAGGTAGTAACTTATCAAAAATTTAACCGATCACTTAATAATATTCTCATGCGACTGTTTTGTAAACTTGGCCTCCAGTCCAGTGTGAACCTTGGCCTCCTTTAAAGAGTGTTCCGTAAAGGGTGTTTTTTCGAATGCGAGGCTGCTGACTTTGCGAGCAACACTCAACTTGGAGAACCAGATTTCCTTCAAATCTGGGGATAAAATTGATGTTTGGTGGCTAGAGAGTGTCCCCTCTGTTTTATTATTTTAATTTTTTAATGTAAAGTATTGCTTTAAATAGACAGATTTTTATCCAACAGTAGAGAATTGCAACAACAAAAATCTTTTCGCATTATTTTTAATTAATTGAATTTTTGGCTGATTATAAAGATCAATGTGAAATCATAAAATTAATAAAATTGTATCACTTAACAGATTCTCTAACATGTTTTAATTTTTAATAATTTTTTATATAATAAAATACACAAATTTTATAACTGTTATCAAATACTTTATCTCTTTACGGGGTTGTCTTAAAACTTTACGTAGCAATCCTCACTTATCCAAATCTTTTTTAATTATTTATGATATTAGAAGTTTATTTTTGAATGTATATTTAATATATAATATATACTTTAAATTGATTCTGTCGTATATATTTCCTATAAATACTAGTAATATTTTGCATATAGTTAAGTGAAATGTACCAATAAACCTTCACGGTAATAAAATTTCATTACAAAACACCTTTAAGCCTTTTTATTGTAACAAAATATTAAAATAAAATTTATTTAATTTTCCGTAAGAAAATTATTTTCAAGGTTTTCCATCAAGAAAAAAAACACTAACTACTCTAATTTTTTTAAAAAAATGCACGACAATTCCATTATTCATTCCTTTTGTCACATAAAATATAAATTATGATCGAACTCTTTTTCATTATTCGGTTATGACCTTCATAAAAATTTAACACTTTTCCCAACGAACCCATAATTCATATTTCCGAAATACTTCATTTCACTTTGCTCTCCAACTATTCAAAATTAGAGCGCAACAGAAATAACCAACAAATATCCTCGTCAAGGAATGGCTTTGCACAAAAAAAGACTAAAAATCAATAAAAAAATAAATTACCATAATAAATAGTAAATAGTTTTTTTCTTAACTAAACCGAAATGAGTTTTTTTTTCTTCTGTCTAATATTCGAGGTCAAAAAATAATTAACCTACTGTGAATTCAGTCCGCACATTAGGAAGGATACTTAGGATTCGTGAGCCTTCAGACATTGTCTTTGAAATATTGCAGACACATTTTTCAGAAGTTACGTGAGGTAAGCCAACCTATACCTTGAGCATGTCACAGTGATATTAACTCGTACTGCTTAAAATAGTGCACTGATAATTATTAGAAATTATTAAAGAAGAGAAGGATAAGTTAGGATTAATAAAACATAATAATATATAATAATTAATTTTTGATTTGATTCTATGTCACTTTGATATAAATTCATAAATAACATATTAGTGTCTAATATTATTACTTATTATTAATTATTATTATAAATATTTTTATAATTATTGCTATAATTTTTATTATTAATTAATGTTGTAATGATTGTTGTAATTAGTTTTATAATTATTGTTATATTTTTTTTTATAATTATTCTTGTAACTAATTCATAATTATTATTATAGTTTCATTATTTTTGTTATCATTATATATGTATGTATATATTATTATTATTATATATAAATGTATTATTATTTGTCATAATTATTATTATTTTTGCTTCCACACTCCTTTTTGGGTACTCAGAGTTGTTACTAAATATTTCTAGTTCAATCTTTTGCTATAATTAGAGGCATCATCAGCAAGGAAACAAATACTAGTCCCATAAAAACGTTTTCAAACAGATATCCATAATCATGCTCTAAGAGTAGCAGAACACAAATAAAAATGTACAATGAGTTGTGAAATATTCAAACTAATATAGCCCAGCTATATAGCATAAATATCGAAAGTCCTTTTGGACAGCGCAAAAATCAAAGCGGCAAAACTCACGGTAAAAATAAAAGACCTCTAACCTATAAGCACACAACCGAAAAATTAGTTATTACTTTCATCAACAGATGCTGGAACTGCAGTATCATGGAAAAAGGAACGAAAAAAATGTATTTTCCTTGTAAATACCCAATCCTATTATTAAGACATCCAAATTGAAATACTTATATTAAGACATCTTTATAACGAGCTTAGGTATTCAGCGGACAATTCAAACGTAGATCTCCAAAAACTAACTACCTTCACTAAGGTGCATGTAAGTTTTAAAACTTTCATGATCTGTTGTATAATAACCAAACGATACGATACAAAATTAACCAAACCAGACAACAGCTTATGACTTTAAATATTCCATTTTATTTATGAAATCAAAAAACTATATATGGGGTGAATATGTACTATCACGTGTGAATAAAAAGCTTTTTGTAGACCCTATATGTTAGTTTTTTTAATTCCATATGCAACTTTGTTATGTCAGCCTTGATAGTGTTGTTGTAATGCCGGATGTCTAACATGACACGATGGCAGGCCTGATATGCTAGCTAATTGTAGGGATCTTTCCACAGCCGACATCAAACAAATAAAAAATCATGTCACTATTTTTGCTAACATCTAACATCAATATAGATTTTATTTCAGTATAGTACTGTCGATCGATTTGAGTCTACCCTCCCTATAACATCCAATGAACCGTAATAGCTCAAATATACGCTTAGTACGAAATGCTTGATGAACACAATTCGATTATAAATAAATATATTATTAACTATATAATACATAATACATATAATATACTCTATATATAAAATATATACACTATATATTATAAACTGGTGACATACTCAAGTACTAAACCCTAAAATACAAGGTTCTTAACTATATTCTAATTCTTTAACATTAAATTGAAGATTAAACATATATATCAAAACTAATCAAGTTTTTTTATTACAAAATTAAAAATATTTTTGTAGGAATTATACATCACAATTTTATGTTAATTAATTTGCGGTTAGTTTGTATAGATTACATGAGAACACCAAACAAATTAATTTGTATTCCATTAATTGTTTGGAATTAAAGCAAATGAGAATGATTAAGCCATAAAGCATTTTTATTGCTGGTTCCCGACTACAAAATTTATACGCGGCTTCTAAAATTAATGATCTTTTCATGTTGAACGATTGCTTAGAGAATATGTTTAGCATATCAATAAGACAATTATATGAAATCATTATTCAAATATCGCAATTACTTTTCATAAATCAATCAATAATAATTATTCTTCGAATTACATTATTACATTTGGTAATTGAATTACTTTGTTTAGGTATTGAAATAGCTTTATTGCACAAATTAAAAAGTTGGGGTTAGAAGTTCCAATATTTCCCGCATTTGATTAAATAAAACAAACGTACATAACATATATTATATTTATTTAAATTATTTATAAAAATAATAATAGAATTTATATACGCGATTGTAAGTTTAATTAAAGTGGGTTGAGCTTCATTCTATGGACTATGGCATAGTCAAGTGGTAGTACTGCAATGTGTTATCATGTAAGATTTTGGATCGACCTGTTACTCACGGTTTCACATCGGCTTCAATTATAATTTTAAGTGCTCTACGAAAGTACAAATCAATCGCTATTAAACATATTTACTAAAAACTTCCCAACATTTCCAGATTATTGAGTCGCAGTATCATACCAGTATCATACCATCAACACCAGTATCATACATTTCTTTCAAAATTTCTTTGAATTTTTTTTGAAAATTATTTTGATTTCAACTGTAAATTATATTGATGGAAAACCATCGACAAGATATCGTATTCGAATACATGGACTCATGAGCCAACTTAAAGCAAGATATATTGCTTAATGAGAACCGATTTTTAACGGATTTTGATCCTATACAGCGCAGATCCATGAAATCATTTTATTACAGAATGGAGCACTAGGAATGTGTGAGAAAAAGTCATCATGAATCCATAGGTTTTTACGAGTTGACAACAACTATTAGTTATCGACTGTCGACAATCGGCTACCGATTGAACTACAGTTATTAGAACTTATAGAAACTTATTGCTTATTGAGAACCTATTTTTAACAGATTTTAATCCTATACAGTGCAGACTCATTAAATCATTATATTACAAAATGGAGCACTAGGAATGTGTGAGAAAAAAGTCATCGTGAATCCTTAGGATTCACTATTAGTTATCGACTGCCGACTACCGGCTACC